TTCAGCATGAAAGCACAACTCTGTGGATCTGGTGGCAGGAATGTGGGCTTATGCTGGTTTGGGCAATGATGCTGTTATTCTTTCACTTGGTGAGTGGTGACTGAAATCATAAACTAATGCTTTCCACATAGACGATAGGGAGAACAGCTGCTGCCTTGAGGAAAAATCAAAACATTTCACTTCTAAAATGTATTTATAAAGCCATATAAATGTATTTTTCATTTTGTGTACCCGGGAATAGCTAAGCCCAAGTATAGTTAGTGGTAGACTTGCTGAAATATTGCAGTGAGACTTGTCATTAAGCCCTTCCTAGTGTTTGGGTCACTTTGGCACCTGCAGTCTTATGACTTTGAAGCTTGCAAATGCAACTCAAACTCAGACTAAATGCATTGTGAGCATACTCCTTTAGAGATTTTTACCTCTGACATGCAGCTCTGTTGAGACTGGCAGCAAGCCTGCTAATTTTTACCAGTTGTGGCAGACTGTTTCAATGTCTTTTACCCTTTATATAAAGCCAGTCTCCTCAAATGCCTGTATTTTTTGTGTTTAAAGCCATTGAACCTTTCCTAACTGGTAAAATCATGTATTCTCTCTACTTTTCTTAAACGCTTCCAGAACACACCATTGGACTGCAGCTCTGTACCTATTTCTAATTTCATTCTGTCTGAAAGCCATAGAGATGTCCTGCAATGCTTTTCCCTGCCTCTGAAATGTATAGAGCACTTCTTGATGCCTTCAGTGGGCTCAATTTCTTATTTCTCAATTTCTTATTTCTCTGTTTGTAGAAGGAGTGGAGAAACTCCTGGGTGTGGACGAGTGTGAGAGCAGAATTTTGGCAATCCCTGGCTGGCCACTGGTCCTTTGGGATAGTGTCACCATCCCATGCCATGCAGAGCAGCCTGTAATAACTCCTGCCTGTTTTGGGTATGAAGGCAGAAGAAAGGGAATATATGACTTTCTTCCATAACTTACTCCCCTGTAAAAGGATTTTAAAGAATCTTTGGGGAAAAATTTAGGCCTCAGATGCACACACGTGAATCTCACTGAGCTCACAGAAGGCCATGCGAGTGCATGCATTAACAGACAAAATATGGCTTTTGATCTTTAGGAGAAATTAATGTAAAATATGTAATTACAATACTGTATAATGGGATATTTTTTAATACTTTGTTAAAAATGAAACAAACTGTATTTCCCCAAACTGAAATACAAAACAACATAATATCCCAGGCCTCGGTCTGTTAATGGCCTATCTTCACTAATGCACATCTCACCTTTGATGCTGTTTGTAAATGTGCTTTTGTGCTTTGAAATTCAGTAAAATATTTGTACTTAATGAAATAATAGCCCAAGCACCTTTCTGTCCTCATGTCTGTCCATGTTTGAGAATGGCATCATATTTGGAAGAGAAATATACATACTTGTCCTGGCCGTCTGCAGGGCCTCCCCTGTGACCAGGCCTTTTCTGCTGCCACACAAAACCCAACTGTGATGGCTCAGCGCTCATTCCATGGACCTGCAAGCACAGAGACTTCTAGCACGTGCTTACATTCCTGAGCCTGCAGGTTTCCCAGCACCTCTTGTAGCTATTTCCTGAAAGAGTGTGATGGATTAAAAACCTCTGCTGACATAGACCTCTCAGGAGTGTGCAAGACTGACAGCTTGGAAGTGGCTCCCCAGGGTCTATTGACACCTTGAAACTGCTGCAGTTACAGCAACCTGTGAGTGGGTGGTAATGAAAGGCAATGAACCTCAACCAGAGGCATCTTGGCTTTCATTTTACCTGCCTGAAATTCTCAGTGTGTTGGTCTGACTTAAATGTTCACCAAAATCTGAAGAGGCTTCTGCCTGGAAAGGTTCCTACAAACAGAAAAACAAGTCCAAGGGTGAGCAAGTGGTATTGAGCAGAGTCTGCCTGAGCCAAGTTCTTAGGAGGAACAGCAAACTCTCCTATTTCTTCATCAGAGAAATAGCACAATGAAGAAGAAACTAACATAAGGCCTTTCCAGGTCTCTATTGCTCTGTCAAATTGCAAATAAAAGGGAGATAAACTGTGGGATCCACTTCATCAAGGTAACAGTCTTAGGTGAATAGGATGATTGCGTCATCTCAGAACAAGCATTTACATGTTTCCAATGAAATGAGGTCTGGTGTTGTTCCCTGTTCTCCAGTCTGTTGGTTATACAACAGACCTTTCTCCTGAAAGGTTTCCTTAAGTCTTCCCAGTTGTAAAACTGGATTTGTTCCCCATTTTGTACTTTAGCATCTCTATTTTTTGGCTGAAATGTTTGGTATGTGTTCACCTTTAGGCAGAAACAGAGGCTAGAACCTTTCCATCTGGCCCTTAGCTGAGATTTTATGAAGTCGTGAACAATGAAGGGAAGGGTAATAATAGAAATATACATGCAGCCCTTACCATAAAAAGATCTTGTATTTTAGCAATAACAAAATATGTATTTTTTACAGTATTTCTATTTTCCTGATTCTCAAAGTCTAATAGACTGAATATTTTGTTGCTATTAAGCTTCATAGATTATAGCTGAAGTCATAATAGTCTATGAAAAGCCATCTATCTCAATGAGTTTTGATTGGAATTTTATTGTTTAGTTGACTGTATCAGGTGCTGTTTATTCCATTCAGATCCACAAGTAAAAAACATTTATTATTATTTTTGGTGACACTAATTTGGTGTGCAAAATGATGTTTTTGGTCCACTGCCCATCTCTTTAAAGAGTATTGACTAAAATTTTGCTGAAAAAAATAAAGCAGCAGAGAAATAACAAACAAACAAACAAACAAACAAACAAAACCAGGACCCACAAACAAACAACTAAAGTGACAAAAAACACCCTGGAAACCGAAACTCTGTTTTTTCATGCCTTGTTAAACTATTAGAAAATACTTATTTGCAGCAAATTGCTACACAGGTAGAAGTGAGAATGCTATAGCTTATAGAAAAGTATTGACATAGCTGGAGATCAGGTACACTCTTTAGCACCCATCCCCTGTCCTCTTTGTAGTGGGAGATATTCCTGCAGTGCTTCGGAGATGAGAGAAGCTGAAACCAAAGGACTCTCTACATAATGCTGTATTACAATGAACCTTTTCAATGTGTTAATACAGTAAAATCCCCGTTATCTGAATTCCATATTCTTCAATTACCATAGCTTGTGATTCAGATAAATGGGAATAACCAAGATATAAACTTGCACTGTATATTAACTCACTGGATATTAATCTCTTTCTTACATTATTTATATAAACTGCAGCATGATTTGGCACATAAACACAGTAGGTTTAGTTTATTTTAGAAATTCAGTGCACATTACATCTTGCACCAAAAAATGCATTCAAGTTATATCTCAAGGTATAAATCTGAATTAATGTTAACCAGGCTTTGTGTGTTCAAGTTTGTAAGCATATACTAGCAGATTCATCAGAAAGAAGACTAGTCAGTACAGATGAAAAATAAGAAATTATTATCTCTGTTGCAGCACACAAAGAAGTGAAGATAGGATCTACTTTCATTCTTTTCCAGCTGCTGGAAGATTTTAGATAGTATTTTGGATTGCTTCTTTCTTCTATTTATATTAGAGAATGGAGTAGAGAAAGTCTTGGGGCAACTGAAGCCCTATGGTAAATTGATTGAAGTAGATGCAGGTAGATAATTTGTGAATTTTGTTCCTGGCGCTACAACAAGTGACAATGCTGAAGGTAGCTTTTCTGAACATCGGAAGTGCAGATAAAGTTTATTGTTTTGTGGGATGGTTTAGTTGGATGCAGTGCTGCTCTTTAAAGATTATGCCAGCCTCATTAAACATGGGTGTACATTAACCACTTCGATCTACAGCTTCTGCCTGTCTTCATGGTTAGCCTTTGGTTGCTGCTGAATGCTTATTTTATTTTTAGGTTTAGCTTGTTCATGCAGCTGAAGTTTATCTAAGCTTGGCTTCTTTTTCTGAAGGAAAACACGCACACTTGGAGTCCAGAGTACCTCATGCTCTTTTGATTCTGTGCTATCTCCTTGCTGACTGTCAAGGATGGGAAGGGCCATAGGTGTTGCCCCCTGTAGAATGGGTGAATCAGGTGTGTTTGGTTTTGAGGTGGGAAAAAAGTGCCATCCAATCCTGGTACTCATTTTGATGCTCAAAGATGACATAAAAGCTGCACGCCAGGAAGGAATGCCCACTGAGGAGGAAGAAAGCAGCCCTGCACTCCTCTGTGATTGGGACTGACTGTGTTGTTGCTGGGTGGAACAGCGTAATCCTGCTGCTGCTCCTGCTCCAGCACTGTGATGTTTCTGTTCCAGATTGTGCTGACTCACATCCAAGAAAATATGATACACAGAACATAATGCACTGTAACTCTTTTCCTTCCCCCCGTAACCTCGGTAAGTGTTTGGTTTCTTTTTCCTCTCTTTGGCTAGTGTGGTGCTAATATAGCTTTACTGTTAGAATTAATAGGAGGAGGAAAGGCAACCTTGTAAACAAACTGGTAGCAGACAGATTAATCTTGGAGAGGGCATTTAAATGCAACCTGCTGTTTGTGGTACATCCACCTCCCTTTAAAGCTGATCAATCCCAATAACTCGCCCATCTCTACAAACGACACTTGTTAGAGCTGTGTTCTTAAATGGGAGAAGTGCTTACAATGCCCATTTACAACTGTATTCTGTTTAATTAGTCAGCACAGCCAGTGCTGCAGGGATAGATCACTTGCCTTTAAAGATTTGAGAATGTTAATAGTACAGTATATCATTTTAATTATTATTGGATTAATGTTGTGTCTCGAAGAACATCTAATGCAAATCACAAGAAATGGCCTGAAGTGACCCAAGGGTTGTGCTTTATTAGAAAAGTAATAGGTCCATTGCTTAAATATAAAAAGAGGTTCTTTCTTCAAATGTCACTCTACACTGGGCTTCTCCGTGTGTGTATGTGAAAATTAAATCCTTTTACTTCCACTTTGTCCACAGAAAGTTTCTGTAGCTAATGCATTAAATGGCTGAGAGAGCAGCTGTAATGTCAAGAGATGAAGAGGAGATCCAAAACAGCAGTGATGATGAAGACAGGTTTCCGACTCAAGTTGCTGTGACAGCATCCCCTGGTTGCTCTGCCTGCCCTTCACTAGACAGCCTTGATGAAGACAAGGGAAGCTCAGCAGAGCCAGAAAGACTGTCTGTCCTCTCCAGCAGGGCAGTGGCCCAGCTAAAAGCCCCGACTGGTCCAGAGATGGTTTGTGGTGACCAGGAACAGACGACAGTCCCTGGGCTGGCTGAGCATCCTCTGGCAGCTGTAGATGCATCCTTAGGTGCCTCCTCATGCCCTGCAGCAATTGATAACCTGCTGCCTGTGCACCTTGCCTCCTTGTATGCCAAAAGTCCCTGCTGTGATGGCAGACTGAGCTCAGAAGTGCTGCAGGACCTGAGGGTGCCTGGTGAAGCCCTGCAGGCACGGACTGGCACCCAGCAGGCAGGGAGCAGCACCCAGAGCAGCATGGCCTCCTGCAGTTTGGGCCGTGTGATTTGGATGAAGACCACAACAGTAATGGAGACCTTAGAAAAGAAGAAGAAGGAGGAAAAGGAGAAGTACCGGCTCCAGCTAGCAATGTACCGACGGCTCCTGCTGCTGCGCTCCATCAGGAGTTTGCATAGGCAGCTGGAGCAGCAGCAGGCCAGGCTGCAGGAATGCTATGGCACGGTGATAAACATAAAGAAAGAAGTGTTGAAACACATTTGCCCAACCTCGCCCTCACCTTCGCCGTAATCATGTTGCTGCCTGCAGAAATGAGCTTTGCAATGCCACCCGAGCCGCCTTGCATGCCATAGGGGTGGTGTCCTCGTGTGCGCCGAGCGGAGAGGAAACAGCAGCAGCAGCAGATCAAGAAGAGAGGAGAGAAGGTACAGCCTTGGTCCCTGAATTTATTTGGAGGAAAAAGGAGCAAGGTGAACCTGTGCAAGAAGCTGGCTCCTGATTCCCATTCAAAGCCTCAAGGTGGAAAAGGATTTTTTTGGCAGATAGGTTTGTAAAAAGAAAAAAGTCACCACAAACTGGGAACCTAGTTTGTCACCTGACCCATAAAGGATGCAAAGTTGCTGCCTGCTGAATATGTAATATGGTACATCTCCCTTCTACTTTCAGAGCCAACAAAATTTGAACAGAATTAGGGTTTATTTATCTACAAGAACATCCAAATTTAAAAAACCAGGATATTTGAAACACTTAGGCTAAGGCTTGATTATATCTACCAAGCAAGCTGCCTGTTTTTCACAAAACTGCTAAGGACACTGTATGTTTGCAACTTCTACTTTCCTTTAAAATTTATTCAGATTGATCAGAAATTATTGTGGAAAGGTAGGACAGCCAAACACACACAGGGAAAGAGTGCAAAAGCCTAAGTCTGATTTCCTCAGGAAAGTAATGTAAAAACAAGGGCCTTGTAGTCTGACGTTGCACTGGAAACCCAGGCTGGCAGTGTCAGGGGAATGTTCAAGGTCTGCACAATTATTAATCTGCTGCTAATTCCCAATGGCACTAGCATCTGCAAATCAAGCATATTTTGTGCCTTACTGCTGTCATTTAATGCAAGTTGGTGACAATTAGCACTTTTTATCCAGGTGTATCAGACATGTGGAAAACCCTGGAGCGCTGTTTCTCCAATTGCAAGGTTAGGATGCCTGCAGGGAATTTGATGTCAGTATGCAACAAACACGCAGGGAAAATTAAAACAAAAAGATGCAACTTTCTTGTATGCATTTAAAAGGCAATGCGAGTCACTATTATTGAACAGCAAATTGAATAGTTGAATGTGCTGTTTTAGAATCGGAAGCAAAATATGATTCAAGAAGAAAAGCTACAGAAAAATTTCCTATTCTACAATTTCAAGGGATACAGAAATATCTTTATTCCCACATATTTATTTCTGATCATGCCAGCTTTCCTTTCCCCCTATTGTTTTTCCTTTTTTAACATAATTGATTTTCTAGATGAACAATCAAACAGGTTTTGTGTGGGGTTTTTTCTGCATAGAAAGACAGGTCTGCTTTTAATCATCCTTTATGAAAATAATGTGCTATATAGAGGAAAAATTTTATTCTCACATTATTTTTGATATATATACAGGGAGGGGTATGTGGTTGTTGGTGTATGCAGGTACACACACCTCCCTGTATTCAAGAAGCTATGAAAGGCTGATGCTTCTTTTCCTGTAGCAGAAGCAGGAATAATCTCTCAAAATAATCTCTGCTGTCTACGAGGAGTTTGTTTGATTAGATTCACATGCACACATCTGTGAGCAAGGTATTGAAGTAATTCAACAAATGAAGTGCAGTACAACATTGTCATTATTCCATCTTTGTATTTCTGTGCACCTAAAAATTATGGAAGCCCCCTGGGTATGCACAACCTTAGATAGGTTCATTCATTTCCTTGGGCCCTTGTGCAGCCTCTCATGCAACACGAACCAGTAACTTTGAATGCAGAATTACCATAGAAACATCCTTGGCATCAAGGAGATATTTGAAGGAGCATCCTCTACTGCCTCATTTGGGGAATTCAGGTTGCCAGAGGCCTTTAGTGGGCTACAGAAGAGAGCTGCTGGTCACATGTGACTGGGAAACATTACTCCTGAGCTCTGATCCCATCTCGCTCTCTGCTCAGCCTTGGGAAAGCTGTTCTCTCTCAGCAATGCAGGTTTCCTAAAGAATGCTTAAATACTAAACTTGCCTCAAAGGTAACCTGTTCTTTCTTCATGTGCCTCTCAAGAAGGATTCAAGGGGTTGATCATGGTCAAGGGTCCCTCGTGAAGATTTTTTAATTTCTTTCCCCCCATACTTCTTGAACTAGAAAAGCCTTTTTGTCATTGTTAAGAGTAAGTATTATATGAACCAAACACAAGCAAATCACTATGATATCACCTCCTTTGGGCAAAGATATATTGGAGAAGGGTCACATCTCAAAAATATTGCTGCGTTTTGAAACCAAATGTCAAATTGTTCCCTTTAGGAAGACAGTCAAAATGAATATGTTTGTTAATGTTAGCCAACTTTTCTTTAGAACTGAAAAAATAATTATCTTTTAAAGTGTATTCAGGTTGACTAACACTATCATGTAACTTTCCACTGAGATGTAATAGATCAATGAAAATATCACCCTACTCCACCAAAATACAAAAAAATGCTGTTAAAACAAAGTAACTGTTTTGCCTCAGTAGCTGCTGAATTCGAGCACTGTTCTGCATTTGCTGCAAGAGTGCCCTACATTACTGCACACAGCTACCTATAGTGTCATATTTGCATACTTATAGTGTCATATTTGCATTAAGGAGTGACTAGAATAAGATTAAGAAATGCATTTTACATAACAACTAGTGCAGAAATAGTTAGTCTGTCAGTCTGTCCAACTATAAATTCTTTGTGGCAGAACAGTGATAATCTTCGTTTTGTACAACATCTCATAAAATTTCTTGATCCTAACTGGGATCAGTAGATGCTTCTGCTTTATGAATATTAAATACTGAAAGATTTGTGCATGAGCAATGCTGTCTGATAGCTGGCAGGAAAATGAAGCCAGGAGTTATTCTGTGTGTGCACACTCCTTCCATGTAGTACTTCTATGGATACAAGCAAAATAAATATTAACTGAGGAAATAACTTCAGTCTTTGCAAGAATTTGCTTTTCAGTCAGTGCTTCTAGTGGTTACTAATAAGTGGAGTTGGACAAAACAGTTTAAGGCAATATGATTTTTTAAATTAGTTTATTTTAGAAGCTTGGAAAATGTGGCTTAGCAGCTACGGGCATTTTCCTTGTATGTTTTAGTGTATTTTGGAAGTTGAAGGTCAGTGAGAAAGTTCCAGAATGCCATGGGTAACTCTCAGAGGTGTTTTCAGGCATATCAAACTGAGCAACAGTCTCAGGTTGAATAAAAGTGTTTCCTCTCATGTAGTTTGACCTCTTCATGTTCCTAAGAGATTTGGTGCTTTGGGTGAGGTCCAATGAAATTTCTTAAAATTTGTATTTTTATCTGAACTCAACTCTCAGCCCTCACAGGAGCTGGGGTGACAAATGATGACAAAATGAGCAGTTTCAGTAGGACCTTTTTCCCCGTTATCTTTACTGAACTTCCAGAGCCTGCCAAACTAATGATCTGTGGGAGAAATATTCCTGCACCCCAACAACTTGTGTACTTTTACAGCAAAGATTGAAGGTGGATTATGCTGCCTGAGCTGTAAGGTCCTGCTGCTCACCTGTTTCTGAAATGGCAGAAAATAATCATGGGTTTATTGTGAAAGAGAGGAATATTTAAAAGGTGTCAGCCCTCTCATAACAGTTGCTAATACTAAAAAAGTTGTAGCTTCTGCCAACCTAAAGCCAGAAATATTCAAGAAGAGAATGGAGTTATAATACACTTGAATGACAAAATGCATTACTGAGATGTTCTTCTACAGAAGTCCTTCTCTTTTGCATCCCCAGCATTTCAGTCAGCTGAACTACTGTCCTAGAGACTGGTCAGAACTGTGATTTTGCTATTTCTGTTGTTGATGACATGAGTCAGTCAAGATAAACAGCCCACCTTAACACGTTCACTTATTACCTTTTGTGATGTAGCTCTGCAAGGGATTTGTTCTGCTCCTCCTTCCTGAGATTTTCCTATGTGCCAATCATATTTTTTAATTCGGACAGTGACAATTTTATGGATTTATAGTAAATTAGTGGTGTTGTGGTAAACTTATGAGCCATGTACTACTAAATGCAGATCACCCTGGATTGTTCTTGGAACTGTGAAAATTATGGACTCTGGTCATGACATAAGCATACAAAACATAGATTTAAAGATGAGGTTGTTTAAATCTTTCCTGGATGATGACTGGACTAGGAAAGACCCTTGAGAACCTTTGTCACAGCTTATTTCTTCAAATGTTATGAATCTAGAATATAAATGCATTGGTGAGGCCCTTTTGCTTGTGACTGTTGAAAGCAGTAATGTAAAGATGGATTTGGGATATGCTTGAGTGGGACTGGACTCCAAACGCACTCAGCAAAAAGCAAGAGTTCCTCACTTTTAAAACTCAGGGATTCAGGGCATGATGGCCAAAACCCTGGATGGTGGATGGAGGAGTGGAATTACAGGAGAAGTTTCAGGGTTTGATTTTTAATTCAGCATGCAGAATCTCACACTGGACAGTTTCTTTTTTCAGTTAAGGATACCTTTTACTTCTTCTCACTCCTGGAAAAGCTCTTTTGGATCATTCGGCTAGGTTTATGCTAATGATTGTTTGTGCAATGCGCAAATTGTTTCCCATCTCTGAATTTGAGTGACAATAGATATTGCTGCCAAAGTTTATACATACATCTTAGTCCCCTAAACCTGGCTGCCCCCTAAATTATAATATATTGAAGTTGAGTGTCCTGCTGATTTTAAATGTCATTTTTATGTGTGCCAGGACTTTGAGGTATGCCTTGTTCATGTTCCTTCTTAATTTTGATGCATTTCTACCTCTTAGCATCTTCAAACAGCTACAAATGTCTTGTATGGCACTAATCTTTGTCTCTCTGGCTTTTCTATATTTGGAGGCCTTCCCATAAGTCCTTTGTGCTATTAAAGAAAAGTGAGTTAGTTGGTTTTGTTTTGTTTTGTTTCTTTTTAATTTAGTGAAAACTTGAAGCAGAGGAGAGGGTTCTGTGAAGACATTTTTAGAGGTTTTACTTAAATGTCTTGAAAATAACAGAGGTTCTTACAGCTGCAAATAAGTTCCTCTAATTGTATT